AAATTCTGCTATTCTTTATTGAAAAAAATTCCTTCAACATCGGATTCGAACGGCAAAAGGGCCTACAACACACACCAGCCGACAAATATTAACATTTATTATATTTTATGGTTAACTTTTTTTCTTTTCAAGATTGACAGGGGAGGCTCTGCCTCACCTGCCTCCCCTGACCGCACATCACTGGCATACAGCAGTACAGACAGAAAAGAGGTGAGCTTACTACAACAAAAACATCTACAGCAAGGTTTATTAGTCAGAATTGGCAGAGGCAGGGCAAGAGAATCATGCAGTTTGTATAATGAGCAGGTTTTCAGCAGAGCAGCAGCCACTGATTGACCAACTGAAAAAGTGAAATGCTACACACCTTGAATTTCAACAAAGGAATTATCAAATGTAACCAAGTAAGACTGTTAAATATCCAATGGCAGGTGCTGGGGTGCATTTAAAAGCCTGTCAAAATGGCTCTGTGAGCGGGTCCGCATGTCTGGAAGAGCATGTGATACTTCCCTAAACTCCGCTGAGTTCAATCACATCTTCTTATGATTGTCACTCGCCAGTGAGGTGCGCTCGTTTGTGCACTGACAACTACGCAACACCTCTTCTCATGCCCGTTTAATCCAATGTATGGAAGAGCTTGACTCAGATGGAAAAGTGGGAAATGATGAAAGCTGTCATGTCTATTCTCTTCAAATTCTTTTCATTCCAGCGTCAAACGTGTGCACGCCCTTAATGATACTAGCAGTGAAATGAAAACAGCAAATCTGACTGTGCCAGGCACTGAGCTGTGGTTTCTGCCTGCTCACTTCACTGCCTGCTGGGGTTTCACAGCTGGAGGAACCACTGCGTTTGTAACACCACTTAGCATTTCTATCCAGGTGGGGTTGAGGTGAATAACATATTCGATTTATGAATTATTATCACCGATCGGAAGGATTAAGTGACAGTTTGTAAATTCTGTTGATGTAAGTTCATCGGTTTCATGTAGCTTCTCAAGCATTTGTGTGCACACCAATTCTATACTTCACTCAACTCTAATTTGAGGAGATAATAGCCATGTGTAACAAAGGATGACTACTTTTTCACCCTTTCTTCCTCAAATCAGCCTTTTAATTTGTAACATTAATATGCAATAAATCATTTGTTTTGCTTTCCAAATTTCAATATCAAAAATCATCCGAGCGATGATAATATGGTACGTGAGCCGTTCTTTCCTTGCCACTCTGTCAGAAATCAACGTGAATTGGAAGGAAATTTCAAGCTCACAAGTTAGAAAAGGCGAAGACAAACCACCAACCAAAACATGAAATGTTGATTTTTATCTTTTTAAAACTTTCACAGCCAGTGGTGAGCTGTACAGATTTGCTAGACAGTGTGGTACATGTTGAGGTCAATGGGAGGGGATAAACTAAGTTTTCATATGGGAGAATGTCCAAAGTTTTTGATTGATTTTTGCCACAAGACGGAGCAAAAGTGCCTGCCCCGCCTGCTCTTCATACAGGCACAAACAGGTAAGATGGATGAATGTGTCAAGTCACTGAAAACGTAGAAGAAAAGAAAAATGGTGTGCGAGTCTGTCTGAAGCTCATGCGATGCTTTATTTCCAATGACTGAATAGCAGATGCCAAGCAGAGTTACCGAGTGTCTCTTCTTGGCTCCATCCAGGCTCGGCTCCCTGCCGGCACTTCGGCTGTTCCGCAGGATTAGTCCAGACTCCCTGGTCTTCTGTGTTTTCACTGGCGGAGCTGGGGGAGCCACTTTGGGAAATGCTGAAATCTTTGAGCTGAACGCCTGACCCTCTGATCCTCTGCCCAACTGATAGCTATCATTATGTTCTGTTTTAGCGATACCCTCCAGATCTGCTGCAAATGCTGGATGGAAGGTGGTGATGTCGGTCCAGTTGAGGTCTGAGGAGCCCTCTGGAGAGCCCACCGACCAGCGGTACTCTCTTCTGATGACCCGAGTGGGCTCTTCGTAGCCTGTCCTGTCCCTTTCATCCTTACACGCTACACTCTTAGACCTCTCCGGTTTGAGAGGAACAATCCTGGTGATTTCTGTCTGGTAGCTGCTGCTTGACAGTCGATGCAGAGACGTCCTCTGACCTCTGTCTCCCATGAAACCCTCAATATCCTCTCCCCCAGAACTACTGATCTTCCTCTCGTGCGTCCTGACCTGTCGCAATTTTACTTCTGCTAGCTCTTTGTTGTCAATAAGGCTCTGTCCTCTCACCTTCTTCACACACTCTCCTTTAACACCTGCTAATGAACTATTATGTTCCATCTTTCCAGGTCCGTTCACTGAGCCCAAATCAATATCTGCTGTTCCCACCTGACTCACTTTTCTCTTTACTTGTTCTGTTCCTTGAATGGAGACTCTGCTTTCTTCTACTGACATATCCTCTTGTTTGCTGTCTGTATAAACCCTGACAGACTGATCCTTTCCTGATCCCTGATTCCCTCTTATCATCACCATCGCTGATGACTCGTATTGTGTTCTTGTTTTACATGTTTTTTTTGGACTGGTGTCTGAATCGGAGCCCTCATTTTCTTCTTCACTAGAATCACTGCCTCCTTTTCTGTAGATGAGCTCTGCAGGCATGCCCAGGTTTAAGCTCTGGGGTCTCCTCTTTTTCCTTGGTTTAGAAGATGTGCGTTCCTTTATCTGCCGTGAGCCTGGGGGCACATCGTTGTTTGCCTCAGGGTCTGAGGCTTGAGATGGTTTACTTTGAGATTTGTCTTGAAACAAGTCTGCATTGTCAGATAAGTGAATCACAAAATGACTTTTGTTTTCTGGCCAAGGCTCAGAGCATACATCTGCCTCTCTGGACAATTTTGTTGATGGAAATTCATCAATATGGCTTGTCGTTTCTTTTCTGTCATACCCTGTTACCTCTTTATGTATCATCTTGCAAACATCTATTCCTCTCTCCAGCTCCTTTTTCTCACATGAGGAATCAGATGAGAGAGATTTCTTTTCTTCTATCTTCCAGTCATGGCCTTGTTGATAAGTTTCTTGTTTTTCAATCAATACCCACTCCTCAGAGCCCTACATGTTGGTATAGATTAAACACAGTTAGACATGCCAAGCACAGCTGCTGCACATAATGAAATCTACACAGTCATTTGGATCACAGAAAAGGGAACAAAATGTACACCTTGTACAGAGTGGATTTTTGGTAAACATGCATTTGAATCTAGGAAGTAATTTATACGGATTTCTTTTCTTCAACAATGGACATATGAGTAGGCACTGCATTTCACCACAACACAGATTCTATAAATATGTAAACTGCATCATGAAAAAGAAAGAGTGAGAGATGTGCAACCTCAGGTGAAGTCACCAGAGTCTTCTGGATGAAACCCTCAACAGACAGGCTGTTAACAGGATCCTTCCCCACTACTCGGCCCACCAACTGGCCGACACCAGGCAGGGGAGGGAGTTTAAAAGAGAAGGAAGAACAGCTGTTAGAGTTCAGACTCAAAATGAGGGAGTTCATTAGTAAGGCACACAGTTTCATGCACACCCGAAAGATTGGGAAAGGCAGAAAAAAATCAGTGTGAAGAGGCTTTAACTGAGATATTCTGTAGAAAGCTTTCAGTGAACTTTAAACTGAAACAAGAGCCCTCAGAGAGTGCATGTACCTCCACCAAAGCACAACATTAGTTCAAATGAATGGGTCCCTTGTGAAGAAGGAGATTTAAAAAAAAAAGTGCCCTAAAATACTTGATCCGGATCAGATCCGGATCATCTTTTAGGGTATGTTAGGCAGCAATACTGTGTATTTTACTTGAACTTTTCAGGGTTTTCTTTTCATTATAGGCCAAGCTATGGCAGAAAATATGTGTTAAAAACAATTATTTTGATAACCTTTGACTGAAATATGAATTTGTTTTTTCTTATTTTGCCCCATGTTAAAGAGGGGAATGTTTTGTGATTTTTTTTTCTCCATTATTTTTTGTGACCTTGACCTTTGACCTTTTTCAGCCAAACTCTAATCACTTCTAGGGTTGGTCCCCACCAATGTCTGGGAAGTATGCTGATGATCCATCCAGCCATTTGTCTGTAATCCAATACACATACACACATGGAACTAAAATCATAACCTCCCTGGTGGAGGTAAACATGCGATCCTGTGTACCTGACAGCCACCGAATCCACATAACCAAATCAGCATTTGCGATGCAAATTCTGTCCAGTAACTATTTCAAAGAGCTGAGTTTGACTCAATCTCTTAGAAACAGTCAAGAACACATATACTTTCCCAGCCTTCTACTGTCAATCAAATAGAATAACAAGCCCACCCTCCTGTCTTTCCTGGAATGAGACACACAGTAGATTAAATTATCTGCTGCAAACAATGGCTGACATTCTGATCATCCCAGGCAGCAGAAGAGAGAGTGCCTGAAGACACCTTAGGCACCAGCAAAAACAGAACTATCCTATCTGAAGACTACCATCACAGTGCTCTTCAATAGCCTAATTACCAGAATGTGATCAAAGCTGGAGAGCTTTCATGATCTCACATAAAGAAAACCGTGTCACTGTTAGGTAATCAAGGAAAAAAAAGATGACTGATAATTATTTCTCAAGTGCCTCACATTGAGTAAATCTCAAAAAACATCTTGACACTAATCTTATCAAGATGCTTCCTTCTGTGCTTCTTGTCAGTCATGTTCAAGTAGCTCTGGGAAATTGTCAGAACAGTTCTGGTGTGCCACACAGAGGCAGAATGCATTTCATTATTCACATATCTGAAGACAGACTGCAGGTTTTCGTGCTTGTTCTTGTGAGCAGTAATATCAAACTGCAGATACCTGTTTGAACTGCCTGTAGGAAAGACAGTAAATAACTACTTTCATGCAGGTCATACCAGTACAGTATATCTTCAGGCTTGGATTACTTTAAGATAATGATAAGAGGATACAAAAAACTTGCAAAACAAGCATCTCCGCGCACAAAAATATTCCATATTTTGCCTTGAGTCAAGCAGCAAAAAGAGGATTTTAAACATGAGCAGACTAGCATATCAGTGTGTTTTTAACATCAAGCATCAGATGTTGCTGGATTTTGAGAACCTAACCATAGTGGACCTTACTCCCACCCCTCCACCCTCAGTCCCTACTCACAGCCTTCTTCTCTGGTGTGCTAGTCGGCGAGGTGGCTGACAGACGCTTCTCGCGGTTCATCAACTTGCTGTTGGGCTCCCTCAGGGCTCGCTTCAGCTCATTGATGCTGGCCTGGTGCTTCAGCAAGACGTCCTTAGACTTATCCAGAAACTAGAGGAGAAGGGGTGGAAGAAGACAAATAAGATAGAAAGAGAAAAGCGTTAGAAGGAGGTCGACATGCTTTCCATGCACACGTCACTCACTATGATCTGATGTAGACACTGGAGCAAGATGTGAGATAACACTGCGTGTACACAGCGGAGGATGCCATGTGAATTGTTTACACCTATGGAAATTATACCAGCGTCTTACTGCTCTGTACTGTAGCAGAGATAAATGACAGTTAAGATGCTTGAGGCTCACAGAAAATGAAAAACAATTATAGTTACAAGTGAATTCATTTTTTAGGACAAATGAAAATGACAATCAAGGCACTCAGCAGTCAAATTAAGAAATGAATGTGCTTTTACAGTAGCTATGATCTATTAACACTGTTGGCTAATTAAATTCTGGATTCATTTTGTGTGTTTGCTTTTTAGAATGATGACAAAGTGGCTGGTAGAAAGCATTTAATTAAATACCTTAGACAACAAAATTATGTTCTGACGTTTTTGTTAGCTTTTTATTTTATTTAATATGAGGCCATTCTTTAAGATTTACATGAAAATACATGTTAAGCATATGAAATACGATGTATTGTTAAAGGTAGCACCAGTACTCCCTGATCTTTTAGACTTGTAAAGTCCGTGTGACCCTTGTCACATTTCAGATGCCTATCAGTTGTAATCAGTTCCACCAAATGTTTGGAGACACTTCCCGTCTCACAATTAAGAAGAAAGGAGTGTTTGTCTAGTTTTCAATTTTGCAGGAAAGCAAAGATTATAGAAAAGTCCAAAAACTGATCTTAAATTTGTGAAGCAGGACTTTTTCTTCTCTCTATTGCACCCAGTCATCTCACAATCCCACAGATGTATTTGTTGCTTTGTTGTCCCTGAGGTTGGGACCCACTGTGCTACCAAACTGCATACAAAAGAAGTAAAAACTAGCTGCATTTTGACCAGCTGCAACAGCAAAACACAACTTACAATAAGAATGTATGCATTGGCATTAACTAATTATATAAAATAATGTGTCTAAAGTAGGGGAGTAACAACCCGGTCATCCATTTGTAGTCTTTTTAATCTCTAAAATCCTTATTTATTTTTGACAAAGTAGAATGTTCAGTAATCAAGTAGCATACATGGATGTTCTATACAGTACACTTAAGGAAGGAGAAGCGGTCACTTCTATCTACAGAGTAACACCCTGGAGATTTTCAAAGCTACAGTACAACTAGAAGGTTTTCTGTGTTCACAGCTTCCAGATATTTCTATTCTCAATGACATTTCAAAAGAAATATAAAAGTAGTCCTTGAACCAAGGCAGTGGTTATAGGCTAACTTCAATCTGTAGAAAACCTCCAAAGACTAGAGGTGCAGGGGAATATTGGCACGCACAACAAAAAGCTTAAGGGCTGAAGACCGGGACCTGTACCTCCTGTTTGTGCCGAGGAGTAGCCTCCTGATCCAACTGAGACAGCAGGGTTGGTGCAGGAGAATGGGCGAGCACAAGAGGGGTCAGAGGTGAAGAGTGCAGGGTCACAGAGTGCAGGAACAAGGTCAGAGGCAAACACAGGATTGCAGGGGGTACATCAGTAAGGGAGACAGGCAGACAAACAGACCAGAAGGCTCTAGTTGGCTACTTTGTACCATGCAAAGACAACTTTGGAAATTATTTGAACATACATCCCAGTAGACATTTTGGCTTTTATTAGATAATGATGAAAATAAAAGCTGAGGTCTTTGTAGTTGACATAGCTGCTGTATGAACTGTCAAGCCAGAAGAGAAGCATCATTTTTACATGTCAGTTCAAACTGGTTTGTAATGCTTTTCTTGCATGTCACTACTTTATTTTATACCTGTTGTCTCACTGCCTGTCAAATGTTTGCTGGGATGCTGAATTGTGACAAATAAGACCAGACACAACCTTTGCAGCATCATCTGGTTATATGGTGCAATGCAGCACAGTTGTTTCTATGAAAACAGAGTCAACTGCCACAGTCAGAAAAATGCAGTGGAAGACAAGCAGAGAGAGTAATATGCAATCAGACAGACTGAATAAAAGATGGATGGATTAAGAACACAAAGACAGACAGAGACCAAATCACCAGACACCATATACCTCCTGTTTATTGTCAACTGGTGACCCAGCCTCCTCCTTATCGCCAGCAAGAGTTAAAAAAAGAAAAAGCATGTTAGCTACAGAGGGGTAGGCTCGAGTTTGCATTTCTCAGCAGAATGGGAAGGGATTAAAAACTGTAAAGCTGTTAGCGGGATTTATGAGCAGTGCGGTGAAAGCATATACGCCTGAGTGAATAGGAGTGAAAGGAGAAGAGTTAGTAAATGCTAAGTCCACCAAAGCCACCGCAGCATCGTGTCCCTGCTGGACAAGCCTCAACCGTCCTGAGAGGCTTGCCCTGCACCTACTATATTTACACCGGCACCCCTGCAGCACCGGATTTCCCTGCACTAAGGTGGAGATGTCTATGTACTTGGAACCCACACAGTTTTTACACAAAACCAACTTCAGCACAATAAAAATTCTTTACTACCATGATTTCTTTCTTTCTGCTTGGAGTGACATTGCCATCATCGTCTTTGTCATGCTCCATCTCCTCATGATGCTCTTGGACCTTGTCCTCCTCATCCTGCTCCAGACTGGGCTCAGGCTCGGTCTCCTGCTCGTCCGCAGAGGGGCTGTGCACATGGTGCTGTTCACTGATGCTGTGGTGGGACACGCCATCGTGGTTCTCACACATGGCTGAGACTGGCCGTGAGAACTCTGCTGGTAACAAGGGTTCACTTATTACAGGAGACAAGACAGAGTTCAATGGGTTTTAAAAGCAACAGTTTGGCATTTTATGAAATATCAGTATTCACTCTAGCTTAGCATAAACACTGGAGACACAGAGAAACATCTAGCATCACTATGTCCAAAGGTAAAAACCAAAATGAGTAAACGTCAGAGCCATGAGTGACAGTGGTGATCTCCAGTAACAGGCTAAAAAAAATAGTCCAGCATATAAATACTGGAAGGTGGATTTATTACATTTGGCCAGAGCTAAACTAGCTTTTTGCTAAGGTAACCACATGCTGGCTGCATCTAACTTTCTACAGGTCAGAAAACATTCCCATTCCAAAATGTTCATCCATTGTCCTAAAGGTCAGTCTCAAAGCTGCAAATCTGGAACTGAATAGAAGTTCAACAAAACACTCTTTGAGTCCTCCATGTGCACATGTATCGGGGCTCTCACCTCCGTCCAAGCTCCTGGACAGCAGGTACCTCTTGCTAGTGGAACGCTCAAAGTGCGGAGCAGGCCGGTCTATGAGAGCACTGGCCTGTCGAGTCTGAGCCTGTGTCCTTCCACTGTATCGAAACTTTGAGCCCATCACTAGGAAGCCTTTAGGAGGAGGCTCTGGAGATACCAACCTGTGGAAATAAAATCAGTGAAGGTTCTTAATCACATGCTCCACCATGTTACAAAAAGCAGCCAGACAAAGACTGGCTTTTGAACTCATTTCTGAGGATGCACTTTTCATGTTCCTGTTTCACATCTTCTCCCAAATGAAGGCAGCACATTAAAGTAAAACTATGTTTTACTAGCTATTTCTCTACTACATGATATGTGATTGATAGTTTCTCTGTGGTTTGGAGTCGGGGTCTTTAGCAAGGCAAGTTTATTTATAAAGCACATTTTCATCCACAAAGGCAATTCAAAGTGCTCAACACAATGCACACAAATAGATAAAACATTAAAATGTATACATCAGAATGCAAATTGCATTAAAACATTAAATGCAAGTTAGAAGCAATAATTACATGACAGCACAAAGTAGCAACATGCATGAGTAGATACCTAGTACTTTTAGGATAGCTGTGACAAACTATGGATTATCATTGTTCTCAGTATACTTTATTTCAGTCTTCCCAAAACTAACCTCTGAGTACTTTAACTGTTTCTAGATAATTTGAAACATCAGTATCTATACATTCTGCTAACCAGTCCTATTACAGCTGTGGCAGACTGTGGATTCTCACTCCGGTCCGGTAAATAAAGTAACTGAAGGTATATCTGGATAAATTTCAGGTAAAGCTGAATGTTCTTTAAAAAAAAAAAAAAAAAAGTATAAATAGCATATCGTGCCTTGTGCATGGAAGTGTTTTGTTTGTCCTAATAGGTATTGAATGGGAGACATTCCAAGGACAAGATAACACTGATTCTTACCGGAAGAAGGTGTGATGCTCAATGCAGACCTTCCACAGCCTCTTGGCAGCTCTGTGGTTGGGAAGCTTAAAGCCGATTGTACTTTCAAACTGCTCATACTGGAGGGGGGGATAGAACAGGGAGAGAGAGAAATGTGAAGAAAAGGTGAGGGGGAGGTTCATCATTTTGAACATGGGTCAAGGCAGAGGAGGGATTACATCCAATGTTCTGACATTGAGAGCAAATGGGAGGAAAACTATTACATGGCTCTATATTTACATTCGTTATCCGTCTATTCTGGCTGTGACTGCAGCTGCAGCAGCTCTGGTAAATGACCTCTTTATTTGGCTTGATCACAGGCTCACTGTGCAGCTCTGTCACTTGACTGGGCCTGGCCCCGACAGTCTGTTACACCTAGGCTCAGCATGGAGGATAAGCTGCAGCGCTGCACAGCACAGTGAGGAAGGGCAGAATATAGTCCCTGACCATGCAACGCAGAAAACTGGAGGTATAAGCCGGAGAATTTTAAAGCCCTTTGTTCAGTAAAACTGATCCCACATTCCTTTCTGCGATGGATTTTAACAGTAAAAGCTGTGACAGAACGTTTAGCTAATGCTGCACTCACAATGGGAGGTCATGGCTTAAATATGAACAGTTTGACATTTTGGGAAATGCAGCAATACTGGTGTACAGAGATTCAGATGAGAAGCACAGTTTTCCTCTCATGTCTTTACACTAAATATGTAGCTGTAGTTAGGACTGGAAACAGGACAAAACAACTAGCCTGGCGCTGTCCAAAGGTAACAAAATCCACCTACCTAAAGCTTACTAATTAGCAATTAATATGTTGTTTTTAATCCATAAAAAAGCATTTAATCAACAATTTTATTAACAAGTATTATGCGTGGGATAATTTCCTGGCTGGGTGCATTGGCTCCCTGCAGCCATCACAGTGAGGTTGCCAGGAAACCAGAGGACACTCCTGGAATTTTTGCATTTCCACTCTTTGTACTAAGCTCAAAAGGTTGCATTTGAATAAAGCTGGATAACTAGCGAGAGGCGTTTAAGTTATCAGCGAGAGTCAAACCTCAAAAGCACCAGATACTATGTTTCCCATGATGCAATTCAATAAAATACCTTTGTTAGACCGTCCCTGCTTGGTTAACACTCATGTCTTTCAAACCTCATAGTGCAACACAAGCTACTGCTATAAATTTCTATTCTCCAAGCCCAGATATCCTCACATCACTATAAAGACATCAGGGTTGTTTTCTCCAGAAGACATTAAGCAAATGTCTTTTGCTGAGCAGCATTAACTATTAATAGATCAAATGCTCCTTGGTATCCTTCAGCATACTGCATACCTCTCCGGGTCGTATCTTTATGTAAAAGTTACTCCTCTTATAGGATATCTTCAGGATCTTTGGCCAGGCAAAGCGGTTGATCCTCAGCCTATCACGGTAAATCAGCAGGCCGTTGGCACAGACACCCAGCATTATCTCAATCCCTTCAGAGTCCTGCAGCAAACAAGGCCCAGCACAGAGACAAAATTTATTCAAGAGCATAACCCATCCTTGAAACCTGCTTCCATGCAATAATTTCAGAAACAACTAACCTTAGCATGATGGAGGTCCACCCCGTACATGGACAGCTTCTTCGCATTCTCCAAGAAGTTCATTTCAGCCTCTGCTGGAGTCATCCCCCTATGGGCAGAATAACAGGCCTTTTTAAATAACAAATCAATATTCTTGTACAGTGAGAGCACAATTATCTTGGCAATATGCTTCATATACTATATATTCACTTTAAACCCCCCCATCTGTCCCCCCAGGCATTATGTTTTTGTGTATGCCAAAAAGCAATGCCAAGTCAGAGCGTGGTGAAGACCCTCTAACTAAGAAAGTGTTCTCGCATTGGCAAGCCTCACACTGTGTACATCTCAGTGACAGATGGTGCAGTAATGTGATGGCATCTGATAGAGTGTTTTGACACAATAGAAAACTCATCAGCCCATCATCCCAGGAGATCTGTGAATAAATGAAAGTGATTTAAACAACAGTAGTACTTGTGGTTTCGATGGAGCTCCATCACCCTCTCCTCCAGTTCTCGAGTCTGATTGGGGGCGAAGCGGAAATCGCTGACGTAATCGGAGCCGTGGTCGTCCTGGTCATAGTCTCCTAGCTCAGCTTGAACGGTGTAGGATCCCAGGAGGGTGTGAGTGACGAACGAGCATGGCAGCCGACCCGACAGCATGTCATCTCTTAGCTGAAGACACAGGTAGTATCTGTCAGATGAGACAAAAGGGAAGGAGAGAAGGGCGTTGGCAGTCAAACAAGCATGAGCCAAGACAAGCTCCAACAAGTATTCAGCGTATTTAATCCATGGCAGTTAGAAGCATTCCAGGTCCAATCCTGGGATTTGGGTTGCTTTGACACAGGGGCAAATATGCCATGTAAATTATTACAAATCAACTGTAGAGTAGATGTGTGTAAGCAAGTTCTCCTTTGATTAACTCAGAAGAGCATTTGGCAGCACAGCCAGGGAAGCTACAACTATTAATACTGTAGGTGTGTGTGTGTGTGTGTGTGTGTGTGTGTGTGTGTGTGTGTGTGTGTGTGTGTGTGTGTGTGTGTGTGCCCGATCCTGGTAATATCCTCAGTGAGCTGGGAGGGGTCTGGAGGGTAGAACTTCACAGCAAATGCAAAATGCCATGGACAGTCTGAGGAGATATAACAATGAGAACTGCAAGGTTAAACATCATGTTTGTCTCAGGAAAACTGAAAACAAATGTTAACATCAATGATGAAACTTTATCTAAGAGATTAACAAAAAACTTTGAATCAATTCTAATGCCAACAAATATAATTCACGACTTTAACACTCGAATTTTAAAATATTTATAATCTCAGCTACTTGCAAAAGACTCTTACTGCGCATCTGCTTCTTAATCTCCTTGGAGGGGTCCAACCAGTTCTGAAAGACAGAAGGCAGAATTCACACAGGGCAGACTGGAAGCATGGCTAATGCACATCCCGGTGTCAAATTTTGCTCTAATTGCCATCAGTGTTCCTAATGAAAGCCTCTCCATATGGTTAAATAAAGAAATGAAGCCCTCGCCTGCTGAGTCGTTCAACATGTAGAGAGCAGATTTAATTCAAGCATCTGTTTCTTCATTGTATTTGCAAAATCACTGGCAGCCAGTTACCTATCTGGTCTCATCACATCTGATCCTGCAGTGAACCATTCCACCAACAGGGACACCATTTGTGATCTGTTTGGTAGAGCATCTCATCTGTGGTGCAGCACACATTAACTCACTTGTGACAGCAGCTGTATATCATACTGTTTAGAAGCACAGCAACACACACGCCAATGAAATATTAGTATTACCCTCCTAAAGTCGTTGAACAGCTTTAGTGCAGTAGTCAGAATTTCATATGAAAAATCGACTTTGTCTTACACAAGAACATTAAAACACATTACAGTTCAAGTGGGGGTTTGTAGTCTTTTAAATGAATCAGTCATTCACGTATTTTACAAGATTCATTATACCTCTTAACTCTGAAGGATTATGGGGTTACTTATAATCTCCCACTGCTTCGAAAATGACCAGTTACTAGAAAGTGGAAACAGAATCCTGCAAAGTCCATCCATCCATTATCTATACTGCTTATTCCAGAATAGGAGCCAATCCCAGCTGATATTGGGCAATCAATTGACATCAATTACACCTCCAGGTCTTCTTGGGTGTCTACAAGCTTTGCACACCTGGATTTGGGCAGTCTCTCCCATTCTTGTTGGCAGATCCACCATATTTGATGAGAAGTATCTGAACCTCCATCTTCAGGTCTCTATTCTTCTATTTCACAATTACTGAGGCCACTGTGCGCCTGGGACCATTTAAAGTTTTAAGAATGGTTTTATATCCTTGCCCTGATCTATGCCTCACCATAATTTTATCAGAGGTCTACAGAGAGTTCTCCGACTTTGCGGCTTGGTTTTTGTCCTGACATGTAGTGTGAACTGTGAAACCTTATATACAGTGCACAGCACAGTATCCAATGCACAAGTGTGCAAAAAGTGAAAGGGTCTGAATACTTTATTAAGCAACTGTAGGATCATACTTTTGCTACATGTTTTAGGACTGCCCCACACTCTCTGGGAATGTCACTTTCATTCTGTCATGACTTGAGGATTACTGTCCCAAGCTTTGCTGCTACACAATCAATATTAAAGGGCTGGCCTGGTATAGGAATTAAATGGAAAGTAACTTGGCTTTATTACAATTTAGGAATTCAGCGTGTATGGCATCAACCCACACCTTCCAAATTCATTAAGAAAGTAAAAACTACAAAACTGCACACAAGCACATAAACAGGTGTTTGCTGCATGTGCTGTGCTGCCTGTGTTGCAGAGAGCTAACAGTGATCCTCACTACACTGAGTACCACACAGCAGCTGCTTATTAATGCTGGCAGTGTTTTGGCAGCTGGTATCATGTCAGTCAAAGTAAAATCAGGAGATTGAAAGTTTGATACAGCACAGTGCAATCCTGTGGCCGTGTTGAGCAAACTGCAAGCAATCTGAACTGTGCCTTGACATACACACATACTCACGTAAACAGGCACAAATACACATACGCCTTCAGTGTTTAATCAGGCTGCTAAAGACTTTAATGAGCTGCAGGCATTTATCGTCCCCTTGAATCTATCTTATATCAGCCAAGGCTAAAGAGCACTCAATTAATAAGGCACTCTCTGCTGCTTTGCTTTTCTCTGCAGAAAAGCAGGAAGAACTTTTAATCACAGACTGTTCAAGTCTTCCCTTTTGATTGTGTAACCTTAGTTTATAAAGTAATCACACAGAATAAATGTTCTCCCAAAGAGCACAGAATAAATCTTCATTCTCGGCTGAGACAGAGAAAGGGCATCTGAAACGACATTTCTCAGGCACGTCTGGTCTACCAGTAAGTGATAACCCCTGACGGTAGGCTCAAGCTGCGCTCTGATAAGCCTGTCTTTGATGAGCCTGACACATTGATCTAAGCTCTAGTTTTGCCTACACTCAGAGAGAAGGAAATATTTTAACTTCAAACCTGTCTGTTTGTGTAACACCCCACTTCACCTGTCCATATCTGTAGGCAGAGATCATGCTCAGTCCAAAGCCTTAGCATTCATATACGCATAGTCACTACATGTGAGCCGACAAAGCACGGACAAGCTAATGATGGTGACAGACAATCTACTCCAGATGTTAAACGGGACTCGGTCTTATCATCTTTTCTATCTTCAAAAGACAAGAGGTTTCACTGTAGCCTGTTGTACAACCATTTATCTGCCCTTAGGGAAGCTCAGACCAATCAAACCTAAAAAAAAA